TTAGGATCCTCGCCAAGGAGGGAAGCCGTCAGGGAGGTGGGGCCGAAGGAAACCAGCATCGTGTTCTAAGGCTTGGGTCCACCGCAAGTTGTGCCCTCGGGGCCTCGCACTGAGCATCGCGAGCAAAGACGAAGGCCTGGTGCGGTGCAGCCGGGCACAATACTTCAACCGAAGGCGGGGGACCAGACATTCAATCGCTGGTCGACGCAAGGCCTCGCGCACATCACGATCGGTGTGCTCCACATGCTTGAAGCGAGGCTCGTCGAAAAGACGACGAAGCACCATCATGTACACACGATTCAGCCGCTTCAAATGCCGAGCCGACGGCGCTAGCACATGCACCCGAACATAAGCTTGGACAAAAGCAAACAATGCATAGCATATAGCTTGTGCGGGAGCTCAAAATATAGGGAACTAAAGACTTTGTACGACAACGGGGCATACAGTACGCAGCAAGAGTCTTGACTGCCTTCGCATTCGCATCAACTCTGGCACCAGCCCGAAGCGAGGTGGCAATACCAAGGTGCTTGTAAGAACTAACATCACAGATGAGCATATCTCTTCCCGGGAGGTGAACACTGAGTTGGCCACTCGTATCGCGGCGAGTCTCTCTACAGGCAGTGGCCTTAGGGCCGCGATACTCCAAAAGGGCTTCAGTCTCTCCGGGAGAAGCATTGAGCTGCAAGTGCCAATTTTCAAACGTAGAAAAAGAACATCGAGAAACACATTGATGCTTTGATCAAGTTGCTGAAGGGTCGAGGCCAAAAACGCAAGAACTTCATCGTCGGTGAAAGCCGCATCCAAGACAGACTCCGTGCTCGCACCCCCCGGAGAGGGGGCCCAGAAAGGGTCCGCGGGAGGGGCCAACCGAAGAGTCACCCCCTTCTCTTGGAGCTGTCTGGGAATAATGTCTAAGGCGATGCCGTAGACACAGTTGAAAGTTAGTGCACCTGATTAGCTTGCACCCTTGGCGCCCCCCAGTGCGACTTGTTGCACAGGTGGGCACATCAGAGATAGCAACAAATGCACCTTCATGCAATGATCTCTCTCTCTGTATATATATATATATATATATGTATATAGATGTCTGTCTGTCTGTCTCTGTCTGCCTGTACATGTATAGGTATTTGAAAATGGATATGTATATGTGCGTGTATGTGCATATGTATGTTTACACATACAAGTACAGATACATATACACACACATACCTATACATCTACTTATCCATGTATATATACACATGTCCGCCGCCCCCTGTTGGCTTGCCACAGGGGTGCCTAGCGTTCTGAATTTCTTACGGCTTGCCTTTGGTGCTTTTCCAACATAACTCCCCCTGGGGCTTCGGCACATGCCGCCGGCCACCCGGAAGGGACCGGAAAGCACCTCAACGTGCGCACACAATTCTCCAAGACGGCTCAAGATGGCCTCTCCGTTGGCCAAGATGCCTCAACATGGCCTCCAAGACGCCTCCAAGACGGCCCCAAGAGACCCCAACATGGCCCCAAGGTGCACCCGAGACGGCCCAAGATGGCCTAAAGACGGTCTACGACGGCCCAAAAGGTCCGCAAGAGGCTCACCAACGGCCTCCAAGACAGCCCAAGAGGCCCCCAAGAGGGCCTCCAGGAAGGCCCGAAGAGGTCCAAATCATTGACTTCCTACAAGTTCTTGACAGATTTTGGCACTTTTTTTTTCGGCCTTCGGACGGCCCGACACGGCCCAAGAGACCTCAAAGATCACCTCAATATCGCCCAAGAGGCCGCCAAAATGGCCCCAGAAAGGCCCAAGAGGCCCCCAAGACGGCCCCAAGAGGGCCCCAAGACGGCCCCCAAGACGCCCAAGGTGGCCTCCAAGACGGCCCTGGAGCACCCCAAGATGGCCCCAAATCGGCCCCGAGAGGCCCCGAAGATGGCGCCCGACGGCGTCAGACGGGGCAGGAACGCTCTAAGATGGGCAAAGAGGCCCCCGAGAAGTCCCCAGAGGCCCCCAAGAGGCCCAAGGAAGCCCCCAAGATGCTTCCAGAAAGCTCCCGGGAAGCGCCCGCCACCAACGCAGGTAGAGGCCATCAGCTCTCAGCAGAGCCCAGGCCGCCACCACCCATGACTTGAAGCAGGACGGGAAGGCGAGTTGGGCTTGTTCTGTGTGCATGAGCAGCGTCAGCGCGTCGTCAAGACTGTCGCAGAATTGGCTTTGCACGGAGTGTCCTGGCCCTCCCCCGCCCCAGCCCGCCACCAGTTCTTGTGTAGCAGTTGGCTCCCACGTCGTTCGTTGGACCCGCTCGATGACGTTCTATGAGCCTTACTGGGTGTGCACGAAGTGTGGCTGCAGGGCTAGGGACAAAGTTGGCCATATAAGGGACCCCGGTCAGGAGTGTAAGTGTGAGAGGGGTGAACCCCCCACTAAGATGGGCAAGTGGGTCCTCAAACGGCTCTCCGAAGGCAGGCCTCTTAAGTGAGCCCCTTTCTAGAAGCGTTCCCGACTGCGTCGGCTTAGGGTAATCCTTAGGTCCGCCTCCTCCTCCTCCTCCTCCTCCTCCTCCTCCATTCCTTTTCCTTATCGATAGCTGCTCCCTGTCGCACCCCGAGGACGGTCGAATGGGCGGGCCGGGCGTTTCGCCTGAGACTTCCTCAACACCGATTGTGGCCCCGATGCTAACAATTTCTCAACACTTTCACACAAGAAAGGCGGGTCGTTTTGAAAATGTGGCTCTCGCCGTAGCGCCGCGCACATTCGTTTTAAGAGTGTGCATGAGCTTCAAGGATTGAGGGCGGTCGTTTTCAAAATATGGCTCTCGCCTCAGCGCCGCGCACATTCGTCCTAAGAATTTGCAAGATTTTCGAAATTTGGATCTCGCCCTAGCGCCGCGCACATTCGTTCTAAAAGAATGCAGGCATTTCACTGGTTCTCATGGCTCACGTACGAGAAAAGGCGTTTAGAACGGTTCAGGATAGTCAGGACGCAGCAGTTACGTTGATTCGCGGCGTTGAAATCCCAGGAATGGTGTTCTGACGCGATTCAGGATCGCCAAGACATAACAGTCAGGTTAACCTGAAGCGTTGAAGTCCCGAGAACGGGATTTGGCACACTTGCAGATGTTCGCACGGCTGTCCCCTGACGGGACACTTTCATCAGTGGAAATGACCCCTTGTAGGGGCCTATGAACAGGGATGTCGGAGGGAGAGTGTATTTCAATACCGTTGATGGGTCTTGGACTTGCACTGGTCCTCCTCCTCCTCCGCGTCCTGATCTTCCCCGCCATTCTCCCCCAAGTGGTCCCCGAAGGGTTTCCACAAAGGCTGGGGGAGCACATGGTCCGATGGCTTTGCAGAGCTCTTGCCACAACGCTCGGCCACATGGGCGATGCCAAAAGGCGGGGGGCGACGCTGATTCGCCGTAGGCGTCTTCGATATACACATACACATACCTATATGTATGTTTGTATATGCATATATGTAGGTGGGTGGGTGGGCAGGTAGGTCGCTAGGTACGTATGTATGGCTGTATGTATATATATATACATATATATATATACACATATACATATACATAAACACATGGATAAACACAGAAGTGTTAGAACGCTACAGCGGAGAATAACATGTTGAAGAGTCGGATGTGTTAGTAGGGCTAGGGGGATTCGCCGAGGTAGAGGGGTGGCACGAAATAGAACAGTTGCGACCCGAGGGACCGACTAACCCCGTCATACACTTGGATCAACAATTTGTTTGGCATGTTTGAATTCGTTTGAGGTGCTTCAATATGTTTGTATGTTACGCCGTGCTGCGTGTCGTGCTAAATTTGTATGTGTTGCGCAATGCTATGCTGTGGTATGATCCTCTACCACTTAGACCACCCTTCGGTTGATAAAGGCTTTTTTAAGGGGAAGGGGAGGCGAATTGTCAACTCAGTGGGTTCGCGTCGAATCCAAATCCCTCCTCCCTCTTCTGCTCTCCTTTCTCCTGCTCCTCCTCCTCCTCCTCATCCTCGTCCTCCTCCCCCTCCTCCTCTTTCTCCCCTTCCCCTCTTTCGCCTCCTCCTCCTCCTCCTCCTCCTCCTCCTCCTCCTCCTCCTCCTCCTCCTCCTCTTCCTCTTCCTCCTCCTCCTCCTCCTCCTCCTCCTCCTCCTCCTCCTCCTCCTCCTCTTGCTCTTCCTCCTCCTCCTCCTCTTCCCTCCCCGTCCGCGACGTGCAGCGCAGGACGCTCGACGAGGTCACCGGCAGCCTCCGCCCCTCGACCGGTGAGGCCCGCTGAGGGCAGGTCGGCGCGGCTCCTGCCCTGTGGAGTCGAAGCCCCTCCAGGGCCGTGGCGCTTGCGGCCCCGATCCCCCCCCACAAATATTCAGAAAATGCTCAAAAGGTGCCCAAAAATACTCAAAACATAGTGTCCAGACTAATTTCCTAATATTTTTGAAGATTCCCCGTGTAGAGGGACAGGCCCGACTTAACGCTTGCGGCCCCGATCAAAGGGGATGCGCTGCCGGCTGGTCACTTGTAGCCCGAGTCCGTCCGTGACCCTGCGGACGCTTTCCAGTCGACGCCCTCTTCCTCTCCTCCTCCTCCTCCTCCTCTTGCTCCTCCTCCTCCTCCTCCTCCTCCTCCTCCTCCTCCTCCTCCTCCTCCTCCTCTTGCTCCTCCTCCTCCCCCTCTTGCTCCTCTTCTTGTTTCTCGGCTAGGATTTGTCGGATTTCTGCGAAATGTCCCAGTCGTGCAAGCACAAATGAGATCTGAGGGAAGGGAAAAAGGAAAGTGGCGCCTTGGTGGCGCGCGCGGGGCCTTGGTCCGGACGGCGCTGTCTTGGCCCATGCTGGAGTCCAGGAAGCACGCTTCCCTCCCTTTCTCCTATTCTCCCCCACCTCCTGCTCGTCTTGGTCGTCGTTGTCCTCTTGCTCCTCTTCCTCCTCCTCCTCCTCCTCCTCCTCCTCCTCCTCCTCGTCATTCTGCTCGTCGTCAACTTGGTCGTCATCGTCGTCGTCGTCGTCGTCGTCTTCTGACTGGGCCAGCCGCGTGCAGAAGCCGGAACAGGTCGCCCCCCGCGCAGAACTCCATGACGATCCTCGTCGGGGCGGCGACCATGACGCCGGACCTCGGAAGCCCCCCCCTATTTCCTCCTCCTCCTCACTCTCCTCCTCGCCCATCATTCACATGTCCTCCTTCATCATCGTCATCATATCATCCTCCATTTGCACCTCCTCCTCATCCTTCTCGTCCTCGTCTTCGTCCTCGTCCTCGTCCTCGTCCTCGTCCTCGTCCTCATCCTCGTCCTCCTCGTCGTCCTCCTCCTCCTGCTCCTCCTCCTCCACCTCCTCCTCCTCCACCTCCTCCTCCTCCTCCTCCACCTCCTCCTCCTCTTCCTCCTCTCCCTGCTCCTCCATCCCACCGTCTCCTCTCGCTCCAGTGCCATGTCCATCACCATCGCCTCCTCATCCTCCTGATCCTCCTCCTGATCCTCTTCCTCCTGGTGCTCCCCTTGCTGCTGCCCGAGCAAGAGGAGGAGGACGACGAGGAGGAGAAGCAGGAGGCGGTGGAGAAAGATATGGCACTGGAGTGGGAGTAAGCGGGCGGATGGAGGAGGCCGAGGCAGGGAAAGTGGGATACTGATGATAATGATGATGATGCTGCTGCTACTGATGCTGCTGCTGATGAGGAGAACCAGAGTGAACCCAGCATGCATCAACTGATGCTTCAATACACCTTCCCTTTCCAAGTCCCCTCGTCATACGTCCATCAAAGTCATCCTTTCCGCTGCGGGCGCCTCCCTTTGAGTGACGAGCGGTCGGTCCTGTTGTAAAGAATCATCCCTCTGAAAAAGGACATGCCCTCCATCCGTCTAGCGTAGCAAGGTGTCCAAGTCGTGGACGGATGCTTCGCGGAAGTCCGACGCGAGAGCCCTTCAAGGAGGCCCAGGGATAACCTCATTTTGAAAAGGACACGCCGTCCATCCGTCTAAGTGTTGGAGGATGCCAAAACCGTGGACTTTTGATTCGCAGAAGTCTCGTGCGAGAGCCTCTTTTCGAAAGAGGAGCCGCCCTCCATCCATGTTCCCCCTTTCCTTTTTCCAGCTCCTTGCCTCCGGGGCGCGCGCGCGCGCCTAAGGGGGCGGTCTGGTGGCGCACACCTCCACTCCGCGCGCGCGCGCGTCTCCTCCGCCTCCCCTTCCTTCCTGCTCTCTCCTCCCTCCTCCTTCTCCTCCCCCTTGTCGGTTCTGTGCGGCTCCTGGTCAGGACTGCCTCGCCCCCTGCTGCTGCTTGCTGGCCCGCCTCTGTCCCCCCCCCTTCTTTCTGCTGGAAGAGGAGGGGGAAGAGGAGGAGAAAGAGGAGGAGGAGGATGAGGTGGAGGAGGAGGAGGAGGAGGAACATGAGGATGATGAGGAGGAGGAGGAGCAGGAGCAGGGGGAAGAGGAGGAGAAAGAGGAGGAGGAGGAGGAGGGAGGAGGAGGAGGAGGAGGAGGAGGAGGAGAGGAGGAGGAGGAGGAGGAGGAGGAGGAGGAGGAGGAGGAGGAGGAGGAGGAGGAGGAGGAGGAGATGGAGGAGGAGGAGGAGGAGGAGGAGGAGGAGGAGGAGGAGGAGGAGGGGGAGGAGATGGAGGGGGAGGAGGAGGGAAAAGGAGGTGGAGGAGGAGGAAATGGAGGAGGAGGAGGAGGAGGAGGAGGAACATGAGGATGAGGAGGAGGAGGAGGAGGAGGAGCAGGAAGGAGGAGGAGAGGAGGAGAACAAACACAAGAAACAAAAAGGAGGAGGAGGAGGAAGAGGAGGAGGAGGAGGAGGAGGAACAAAAGGATCAGAAGGAGCAGAAGGAGGAGGAGGAGGAGGAGGAGGAGGAGAACAAAAAACCGGTCCCGGCGAAGCAGCGGGCAACGGGGCACCGGCGAGCGGGATCGTGTTCCTGGCAGGCTGGGCGCCGCACAGCCTCACGAGGTTAGGGTGTTTCGCCATGACCAGGACGCTGATCTCCCTGTCCAAGGGTCGTGGGGGGTGGGGGGGGGAGGGGTCGGCAGAAAAGGGTAGGAGGAGCGGACTCCTCCTCCTCCTCCTCCTCCTCCTCTTTCCTCTGCCTCCTCCTCTTCCTCCTCCTCCTCCTCCTCCTCCTCCTCCTCCTCCTCCTCCTCCTTCTCTCCCGCCATACCAGCGGCCCTAGCACCAGACCCGTTTGGGTTTGGTACCCACTGGGGCCAAGCGCGCCAGCCAGTGGTCCCAAGTACGCCCGTCAAATCTGCACGTTTTTCTCAACAACCGGGTGGAAGGCATGGACGGTGACAGACCACCTCGGTGCTGGCGACACGGCCCCCCCCCAAAACATAGCAGGGACTAGAATCAAATGATCCGGATTTGAGGCGTACCTGTTGCAATACGCAAGGTCTAAGACGTGTATGTGTGTGTGTGTGTGTCTGCGTAAGTAAGGCGCGTATATGGGCAAAGTCGGATATCTTACTGGGCCCCAAAGCAATCAATGAAGGAGCCAATCAGCATAATGTTTCGTTCGAATCTGGTGCTCAACCGAATACGCCTGTGCCTCGCCGGTTTGGTGTGCAAACCACACCCAAACCAGTGAAGCAAAAGGGTGTGCTTCGCTGAGAGGACATTCGACTGACCATGCCCCTCAGAAAAACTTGCCTGCGGCAGATGATTGGGTGGAGCACGCTCTCACTCACTTGCATGCTCGACTTCCCGAAACCTGCTGCAGCACGAAAATAGCTCGCGAACGCAGGCCGTTCACTGATCCCTCTACCATGTCACATTCGTGAACACAGCTCGCGCGATGCGAGCCCTTGTGTTTTCTCAGGCCGTCGTTGTCCGCATTGTGGGACGTGTTGTCGACTCAGTCGTACTGGTCGCGTTTCTCCTTGCTGCGATTGCTGTGGCGGGAACTCGGCACCGTCTTCTTGTGTCGCTTCTCGCTCAGCCTGACCGTGTTATGGTCGTAGCTGCGGTTCCCCTCCATGATGTCGAGCATGAGCTCGCGGCCCGTGCTACCCTTCGTCATTCGGTCGGCCCTCATGTCTCGAGTATCGCACCAAAGAATGTCGTCGGTCTGCTTGCTGCGGAGATGGCCCGACAACCCCCACAAGTGGCCTGCCATGCTGTTTCCCGAAAGTGGTCGAACAGGGTCCATGGCCAGGGCCGTGCCAGGTCCTACCCAACCCGACGCGTCTCCCGTGCTCGGAAGCCTGTGGGCCCCCGCCTGGTCGCCGACGTTGAAGCGCCCCTCTCCGATCTCAGTGGCGCGTGTCCAGAGGGCGTGGTTGACGAAGTGGCCTCGATCATGCGTTGCAAGACGGACTTCGGATGCGCCGCTGCAATCTTTTGGGGCGCGCGTCGCCGCCGGCAGCAGGGCCCGCGCCAGCAGCGCAGTCGCCGAATACCTCGCCCTCCTGGTATGCTTCGAGCACAGGCAGCATGCAGGGCTGCCTGCCGAAGACGACGTTGCACGGTGTAACGCCGCCTGCGTGGGCGAGGCCGTTGCCCGCGAATATCGCGTTGGTGTCTCGCGCGAGTCGCCGCGTAGTGCTCGTAGTAACGCGGTGACGTCGAGGCGAGTCCAGTCTGAAAGCGCGAGGCGGCCTACCGATGCGTCGGCGGCTCGCGGTGCTGACCGTCTCGGCACTGCGCCGGTTACTGAACTGGCTCGTACTTGTGGTCCATCAACACACTTGCCGGAACTACTGGCCTGAGCCCTGGCGCTGGATGATGACCTGGCTCCCGGAGTACTGGCGAGTGCCGGCGATGGAGCAGCTTCGCCTGATGCATCGAGGTCGGCTCCGCCAGGCCATTGTGCCCGTTGATCGCTGGCGCTGCGTGGTCCTCCAGGTCGCGCTAATGTTCGCGGGCGTTGGCCGGCGCGCGGGCGCGAGCGGCCGCGTGTGAGGGTCCGCGAACCTACGCTTGCTGTGCTCGTGGGCGCGTGCAGGGCGGTCGCGTTCGTTCTCCTCGCGGCAGCCGGGGTATTCCCCGCGTGCTGGGGCGCTAGCCATGAGGATGCCAGCGCGTGGCCAGATCTCGGAGTGCATGGGAAATTCCCATCGGACGTTGCGCCTGCACGCCTCGCGCGAGCAGCGCGCGCTCTCATCTGTCATGGCACTCCTGATCTCGCCCTCTGTGGCCCCAGAGGTAACAGCTAGGAAGGCTGACGTGCACGCGTCGCATTTGTGAACGTAGTTCGCGACGCGCGAGTACTTCAGGCGGTGGCGCAGGCCCGCGATGCCCTGGACAAGCCGATCGGCCATCCTTCATGGTCAGATCTGGGCGTCGAAGCTGTTTTAGCCCTTGACACGCACGTGCGCGCTTGTTGGCGCGCTGATGGTCCACGAACTGCCCGAGGATCTCCAAGTCGTTTTAGACGACCAAGCCCGTTGTCTTCTTCAGGATGCCCCCTTGGCGATCTCGAAGCCCAAGTTGGCATTGGTCGAAAATGACCTTGTGCGTGCCTGGTGTTGTCACCACCCCTGACCAGGGTGGCTCGTTGCTCAGCCGCGATGGAATGGGCTGCTCGTTGACGAAGTAGCCGCCGAGCTGCAGCTGTAGTAGACGCATCCGCAGAATCGGCCGCGCGGGACCGCGTCCTCGTAGGAGCGCAGCCAGGTGCTGTAGTTGCGTTTGTAGCTATGCGTAGCCCAGCGACTGAAAGGCCGGCAGGCGGGGGCCATGATGGCCACTTGGGGCCGATTTTGTCGTATTTACCTCTCCGCGGCCCTCTGCTGGCTCTCGTCGTTGAGGTCGCAGCCCATTGCCAATTCGAAACTGGCGACCGTCCTGTGGCGTCGGCGGACAGCGAGTCTGCCGGTCCGTGCCTCCCCACCATAGACCTCCATGATGTCCATGCCGTATTCCATGGGGGTGAGGGATTTGAGGAGGTGGTGCATGCCGTCTAGCTTGGTGGACAGTGGCGTTGGGGGCTGGGATAAGCTCCTTGCCTCGAATTGGATAGACTGTCGTTTGAGCACTCGCCCGATGGCGATGCGACGCCGGGGCCGACGAGCCGTGGAACCACCCGGTAGGCAAGCTGGAGGTGACGCTGCCGTGGGGGCCGTCGTCGTCGTCACACACGTCGGAGTGCCGTAGCTCGCTGATGGCTGGGAAGCCAAAAATACCTGGGCCCAGACCTGTGAGGTCAGTGCCGCAATCGTCGTAGCGGAACTCTGCGACTTGCTTGCGCGCTTCGGGCACGCGGCCCGCCTTTATCTTGGCTTTTTGGCGCATGCGCTCTGCCGTGGGTTAGGCGCCGACAACGTAGTCGCTGGGCGCCTCCAATGGTTGGTCGGATCGATCAGAAACAAATCTCTCTGAATGGCCCCTTCTGGCCTGCTTGGTGTTGGTGTTGCGCTTGCCAATCGCAAAATGACAGGCAGAGGTGTTCGCGTCCTCGGTGTGCTCCTGAGTGCGCTGCTCGGCGTCGCGCTTGCCCTGCCATAGGACAGGAGAAATCGCTCGAGTCTGGCGCTGAAGCTGCTGCTGTGCCTGGCCGAAAGCGCACCTACCGCGGTGCGCTGCTGCTCGTTGAAGCACAACAAAATATGGTGCAAGACGCAACGTCGCGGCCCATGAGAGTGAAGTATGCGTGCCTGTTCGTGGTCGTCCAGTCGTCGGTGTGCTGCTCGGAGCTTGACGTTGCATCGGTTGATAATGAGCGAGGCGATTAGCATAGCGAAGGCCACCCTCTGGGGCCAGGGGCTTGTGACAGGCCTGGCGTTTGCGGAAATGCAGCGAGCTTGCGTCGGTCATCTGATTCTCTGCCTAGCGCCCCCAATGAGGTCTGTGCCGACCGAATGTCGCGATCCCGGTGCCAGCACCCATGGCCCGGGCGCACCGCCTGGGAAGGGGGTCGAGGATTTGGCGCACTCCATCCCGGGTCGTGTCGCACGTGGTCCGCAGCATGCTAGAGCTTGCGCTGGGAAGCGCGCCGTCGGACAATGATCTGATGGCGCCCTCGTGGGGGGTGGGGCGGATGACGTCGTGGCCGTGGTCCTGTAGTACTCGTGATGTATCCCGCCCTCTCTCCAGGGCCCAGGCGGGGCGACCTGGCCCTCCTGCCCGCTTTTCGGCCGGGGCAGATCGGCAGGGCCAGCCTCGCGGTATGGCCCGTCCTCCTCCCAGTTAGCGGGGCAGCTTCTTGGAGTCTTCGGCGACGTAATTGCCGAGAGACCCTGAGGATGCTGAGCTGTTTCCATGGCTCTGGGTCGGGTCGTGGCCGGGGTGCGTCATGCCTGCGTGTCCAAACCCCTTAGAGCCACGAGAAGTCGGAGGTGGGTTGGGAACGACCACGATTTCCGCGTCGTCGATGATGCGCTCCATGGTGAGCTGGGCGATTCGCTCGGCCTCGCATGATCGCGCGGGGGCCGCGGGGGGGACATTCGCCACGGGGGCCCTGGTCTCGCCGCGGCAGTCGGGGCCCACCGCGCCGCCCGCAACGTCGAGACCTCTGAGGGCGAGTGTCGAGCGCGGGGCTACCCGTAGGTTGGCGCCCGACGGCCCGAGAGCGGCCGCGCCCGCAGACGCCAATTCCCGAACGTATAAGTCGGGGTGCTGACGTCCGCGCTGGCGCGCTGCCTGCGGAGCGCCCCGCACTGGCGCTTGCGCGTTGGGGCTCAGAAGATGGACCTTGAGCTTCTTGAGCTCGCGGCCGCAGCTGGTGTCGTCGTCCTGGCGGTTGTTGCCCGCTGCTAGTTGCGCGAGTTGCCTCGGTGGTAGGCCCCCAGAGGGCGCCTGGAGCCTGTCGAAGTCGTCAAATGTGATGCGCAGGTGGCCGCTCGGCGCCGATCCCAAGTCGAAGTGGATGGTGCCAGGGCCGCAGGTGACCCTGTAACCGCCAGGCTCGGGGAACGTCCGGCGTTTGCGTGCTGCGCCTGTCTTCGCCGCTCCGCCGATGGACTGCGTGGATTGCAGACCGAGAAAGGCAGGGAGATCGAAGCCTGCGCCCTCCGCGGCCGGGCGGTGCATGCTGTGCTGCGTGGTCGCGCC